ACTAAAACCCAAAGACGTAAATCGGGCACCCGAGAGCTCTGATTGGCTTCCCATAGTCATGATGGGCTTTATGCTTGAGAAGTTGTATGTTAGTGTAATGGAGAACATGTTGTGATAAGTTTTTAAGTGTTCATTGATGTATACTTTTGTTTTGTAAGTTTGTGTGGTGCTTGGATTTTCAAGAGCACACTATTCAAGTGTAGTTTGGTGATCTCCCTTTATGGCTTGTCTTGTATACGTATAAGGGACCTCAATTGAGTTGTATTATCTCTTTTTTAGTGTATTTTGAAGTCATTAAGTTACTATAGTTATAGTAGCCTTACTGTAATTTATTGTAGAGGTTCTAATTCAAGTCTATTGAAGAATTTTTAAAGTTGTATTGGCTCGTTCATTTCTACTTTGTAATCCATTGCAAGAGATTTAGTTTCTTATGCAAGAGAGTATGAATAGTATATGACAACCAAAGAAATCATTGAAAAGATGAAGTAAGCCTTTGACACTCCATCTTATTCTCACAGGATGATGAGCATGAATAAGTTCATGGATTTTCGGATGTCGTATCACTCGAAATTGGTGATCATGTGAGAAATTTCCGTCATATAGTGAAAGATATTGAGTTGAACGGCATGACATTTGATATTCCAACTCAAGTGACCCTCTTCTTGACTACTCTCTCCCCTTGGGAGAAATTTACCTCCAACAAAGTGGCTCATGACACCCCCAGGACTCTCGAGAGTCTCACATTCTTCCTTGAATTTGATGAGGAGTGCCAGATTGGAAGCATACATGGACCTAAGATCATGGTCACATGGTAAATTCTAAGTCTTCCTCTTCTTTCCCTTCTTATAGTTTCCATGTGAATGTATGTGATAATTCTCCTAATCATCAAAATGGGGAAAGTAACAATAATAAAAAGAAGAAAGGAAAGGGTAAATGGAATATGTCAAAGGGAAGGCAAGGTTAGTGGGTAGTGAAAATTGGACTTATGTGATGTAGCCGGTATATATAATTTTTTCTTTTCTCCTTTTTTTTTTCTTTGCCAACTTAAAACACTCACAAGTAGTCCATTACAATAAATTAATTTGAAAAAAATAAAGAAAAACAAATCTAGGATCTAAAACTTGATGCCTCTAAAACCTATCTTTTATTAAGCAACGAAAACTACAACAATATGTTTGAGAATAATAAAAGACATAAAAAATAAATATGCCAAGAAACAAGAAAGTGAATGTTAGAGATTACCTCAACCGGGCTTATTACACCCCACACTGAGTCACCACATTCCAATGGTATGGGATCCATGGTTAACCTTCAATCTTAAATATGAGAAAGGAATTAGGCCAAAACCTTCAATGAAACAAGAACTCTTTTAAAAAACTTGGATCTCAAACAAAGGTTTAACCCCTTGATAACCCAGTACAAAAAGATAGCATGTAACTATTACACCTTAACCCTTAGGCCATAAGATAGCAAGATGGGAGAGAGAGAAATCTTCCTACATGTGGGGCGTGCCCCTTTATCTTAGCTATGAGAGAAAGAGAGTCAAGATTTTGTGCGTGGCCGTTCTTATGATCTTGAGAGAGAGAGAGAAAAGAGAGAGATGTGTAGGAGATATGAGAGAGGGAACCCATTTATATAAAGGAAAAGTTTATATAGAGCCTAGGCTCGAAACTATCAAATTAGAGCCTACCTCAAAACTTTCACTAGAAGAGGTTATTTTGATGCCCAAATATCATCAAATTGGTCATCTGGACATCAAGATGTACGAACATAAAAAAAAATAGATTTCAAGTTTTGGAAATAATGCATCTTGTAACGTATTTTTAAACCGTCTATTTTCAAGATTTTCAAGTTTTCATAGGTCTGCTTGATCTACACTATTTTTGAAACTTTAAATTTTATAACTAAAGATGAAATTATAATTTAGGGCGATCATAAAACTTTCCAATATTGAGACTATATTTCTCAGCACTATTTGAAAGTGGGTTCTAATTTGATTGTTTAGAGCCTTGGCTCTATACAAACCGAACCCTTTGTATAATGCTCAAAGGGATTTAGGGTTTATTAGGGTTTTCCACTTCTAGTGAGATTGAGTATGCACCATTGATCTTGGATGACTTATGGGGTGAGAGATATGAAGCTTCCATGCTATAGATAGGCCATCAAGATGACATGGATGGTTCTAGAACCTTTATCCCCTATTTTTTAAACAATTTACCCATCAATTAATTTAAATAAGAAATATCTATAATAATATTGTGCTTTCTTATTTTCATGCACAAGCCTTTTTACACTTTCCTTTTTCAATTTCAAAGCTTCCTTCAAACATAATCTTTCCAAAACATAAGCTTTCTTCACCCTCAAGTAATAAGCAAGGGAAGCTCATAAGGTGAGGCGTGCCACCCTAGGTGGCACATTATGGGCCCACCAAATTGTCATGATGTCCCCGTATACATATTTGGGCCTCCCATATAATATTAGAATTATTTAAACTAATTTATGAGTTTTTAGAAATTCATAAATCCAATTTGAATAATTAAATCAATGCAAAATCATTATCTCTGTTTTTATGAATCTAAATTTCATAAATAAAAATACCTAGATATTCAGAAAAAATTCAAATAAGAATTCTAAAAATCATATAATATTAAAACAAATATAATTAAATACTTTTGATGGGAAAATAATCCATATGGTTTAGGAATAAATAAATAAACACTAAGGCACTCCACCTTTTATTATGGACTACGATCTACATTTGCTTTCTCAAACTGACCCAGTGTTGCCCATGACCCACAGTCTATGCAGGGGCTCATTAGTGATCATCAAAGTCTAGCCAATGGGCAAGGGGTCGTAATCCCAGTATGTGGATTTCAGGTTCTCTCCTAGAGATGTACCAATGTTACCTAGACCTGATGTAACCATAACTCTATAGTGAATATGGGTAATCTCTCACACATGTACAAGCTCCACCCTAAAAGGTGGTTCGCTTTCCCGAAACAGCTATCATATGTGCATGCCGTGTGATGGTACACAGATGAAGCTTTCCCCCATCTTTGAAGGCTTTATCACACACAAGGACCCCACAGTCGCTCAGCTTATTCATCCGGGCATATTTCGACCTCATCAAGAGATGAGTTATTATAACCCTTATCGATTTATTCTCTATGTTCAAATAATATGGGTTTTTCCCAACCGACTGACCTAGCCCGTCAAGCTCAGTCCGGTATCAGTAAACATCATTTGCTTAGTATGGTCCACACAAGACCACACTCCCACTGAGTTCATGTTCCATTATATCAGAAGTTCAGTTGCAAGTACTCATAAGGCTTTTAATGGCCACACACACCCAACAGGTAGTTATTTCAAGCCACCACTGCCGTATCCATTTAAAAGAATTATAATCCAAGGAATGGGAGAGAAAAACAACCACATGCAACTAAGGATTTCTTTAATATGCAATGCCATAAATGTAAGAGATTCAAACACATTGCTAAGTATTGTCATGCACCTCCCCTCTCTCACTTAGCGCTTCCGCTGCTGCATAATGAGACCGGTAGGGAAGGGCCTAACACCGATCCTATGAATAAGAGAGAAGAGAGGGTTCTTGTGGTGTTTGAGGTCATGGTGGCCGATGAAGGGATCCACACATAGAGTATTGATTTTGGAGCCACGGTTCATGTGGTAAACACCATGTATGGATTCCTGTCCTTTAAAGAAGTGAAATCGGGGGCTCAATACGTCTATATGGGTGAAAACCAAAAGGAGCGAGTCTTGGGATGTGGAGACTATGTGGTTGATCTGGTGAATTGAGAGGTCACGATCTTAAAAAACACTCTCTATGCTCCGGATATGAGAAAAAGTATGATCTCGGTTTCCAAAATGAGTAGTGCCGCTTATGTGCTTGTTTCCAAGGAAGACAAAGTGTTTGGCGATAAGGGAAATGTGAATGGTGAATTCGTTTTTATAACAAAAACTACAATGGGCTTTGTCAATTGGAAATAAAAAAATAAGTTTGCTTGTGTCGGATTATGTGAATGAAATCTATTAATGACATTTAAGGCTAGGACACATAATCAAGGATGGAAAGATTTATGAGAGATGGATTTCTCAAAACTATGAATGTGAATTTTCAAAAAGAGGGCAAGGCTTGCATACAAGCCAAAATTATTAAAAAATCTTATAAAAAAGTTGAAAGGACTACTAGCCAAATGTACATGGAGCGTCACACCAAAGCAATTGCATTAACTCCTTACCAAATGTACATGGAGCGTCCCCTTCTACTAAGCACTTCAAAGTTTGGAGTTGTTCAACCCATGTTTTGATACCCTTTCAAAATAGAACTAAACTTGAACCTAAAATCATCAATTGTGTTTTATTGGTTATCCCTCACATAGTAAAGGTTACTGGTTTTATGATTTGCCCAATTGCAATGTGATTGAAAGTTGTGATGCAGGTATCCTTAAAGATGAATTTCTTGAAGGATGGGTGAGTTATAAACAAGTAGATCTTTGTGAAATGGAAATGGACAAACAAGTTGAGAGAACTTGAACACCTATAAACTTACCTAGAGAAGTCAAAGAATGAGAAGAACACCCAAGTTTTTCGCTTACCTTGGAGAGATTTATGAGAAAATATGTGATAAACTCGACCATGAACCTGTTTCATACCCAAAAGCCATTGATTGTTCCAAAAGAAAATAATATTGATAGTGAGATGAAATCCATTGAGAAAAACATGAGCTTATATCATTGCCGCCTAGTTGGATACCGAAGTGGGTTTTCAAAATTTAGCCCTCGAGCTTCTAATATCTTTTTTCTTGCCCTTCTCCTTAGCTATATGGCTCCCTATGTCCTATCAGTCAACGCGCTCTAGAGTTTATCCAACAAAACTGATAGGGTCCTTTTCGTTAATATTCAGTAGAGAAAGGACAATTCCGTCAACTTTGGATATAACAAGTTACCCCTCAAGGGTGCGGGCCCATTGATAATTTGAAAGACCGCGTAACGGCACTTTTGTGCGTGCGACCTCTTCTCTTCCATTTTATTATTAATTTTTTTTATTATAATTCATGCTCCATTTATTATTCCTAATATTTAGTTGGCCATGGAAAATAAATCACCATTTTGTTGATAGGTGTTATTCAATGATTAGTATTAAATATTATAATCCTTTCTCTTTCGTTGTTTCATTTTGATTTTCAAAAGCTCTGACCTCTCCCCACCGGCGTGTTCATGTCAAACCCACCCTAATCAATCGGATGGATTCTTCTCTGGTTTCTAAAGCCAAAACAGGTAGACCTTATACCTCTTCTATTGATACATTTTAACTCATATCCTCTGTTTTTTTTTCTTTAATTTTTTCACTTTGATGTAATTTTTTTCTTTCTGTGGAACTCTTCATTAGATTGTCAATCTCATCTCCTCAATTTTTTATTGCTAATTGCGATTTTCTTTCAATGTATACAGATTAATCAGAAATAATATCATCGCCAATTGTTGTATAGCTAATTGCGATTTTCTTTTAATGTATACAGATTAATCAGAAATAATATCTTCGCCTCTGTTTTTCTTCTGTTATTTTCTTTGAATTTATGCAGTTTTGCATTCTGCTGCGGCTAGGGCAGAGAAGGTCTTGACTGATATCAAAGCTGATTTGAAGAGCGATCGAGGTTTTCTTTTCTTCATCATTTCATTACCGCTTTCTATAATTTGTTCATTGTGATATATTTTGGGAATTGTTTGATTGGGGCAGGGACTGAGGTCAAATTGCAGTCTGGTTCAAGGAACGATCGGGTGCATGAGGAGATTCAAAAAGATTGTCTTAGCAAAGAAGATGGAGTTGTATGTCTTCTCCTTTGATCCTCCAACCTGGCCTTGGTTTTTTATTTTTATTTTTTATATATGAATCATGTGTACTTGCTCGTTATTCTATTTTTCTTCTCTTTTGTATTTTTTTTGTCTTTAAATTGTGTTATTATTTTGTATTTCCCCCCCCTTGGATTGTATTGGAAATAGGATTTGATTGAATGCTTTCAACTCAAGAATGGTAAAACTTTTCAGTATATCAGTAATTTTTTATGCAAGTAGCGTTTTTCAGAATTAGAGAAGTTATTAGAAGAGGGAATTTAGTGAGATTAAGGTGATATGGTTGTTGTTTTGATTGCATCTAAGGGGATGGAAAAGAAGCAAAATTTGCATTCTTGAGCATTAAAAAGTATTTCAATGTAAAATGTCTTTAATACAAAATTTAATGTTGGACTCTTGCACCACCACAGTGGATTTGTTAAAGAATTGAGTCCAGATCACAACCACTTAATGTTTTTTTCTTTTAAAATTTTTAAAAGTTTCGTGTTTCAGAATCTTAGTGGGTTTTGTAGAACTTTATGAAAATTTCATGCTTTTGGTCGATCTTGTAACACATTTGATATGGAGAATACAGTCTTTGGCTTAAGTACAAATGAACTGATCTTTCTTTCACTTTTACAGTTGATTTCTGTTAGTATACAGAAAAACTTTTAGTATCATATCTTGTTTGGATGTCCATGAAATCTCCTATCGGAATAGGCTTTAAGTTTAACAGAGATTAGACATGGAACTGTTTCTATCACTGTGCAGGACAAGAATGAGTCCCAGAAACCAATATGTAAATCCATGGAACCAGCAAAAAGAGACTGGAAACAGTATCTGAAGAATATGAAAAGGGGTAAAGCATTTGCAGAGCGGGAGAAAATAAAAGATTTTTGTTTTGATAATTCAGATTTGGATGAAAACTCAAATAAGAAGCATCTTGAGGATATTATCCCTGTGGAGGTAATGCAAATGTCTTCCTTATTAAATGTTTGATATATCATAATGAAGAGTTTTTGTTTGAGATGTTTCACTATGAAGTTAGGCCTCTATTTTTGTTGTTTTTTGTTGTTGGGGTTGGGGATGCCATTTTAAACATAACAATTTCCCATTATTGCTGTGCCTTGTAAGATAACATACTCAAACACTGCAATTATTTTGTCTGTGGGCGCCTAGGCAGAGCTTGTCTTCTTGCATGATGAAATGTGTCACTCAGGCAGAAGTATCGCATTGTTGGTTACACAAATCTTGGATAAATAAAATATAAGACCAATAATGGACCACAATGACGATAGGCTGTTCTCAATGTACCACTTTCTTATGTAGATGGTAATAATTCATTTGGTTTTTCCTTGTGCTGGCATGTCAACCTCAGAGCCTGACCTTTACAAGTTATATTAAGCCGATGATTTCACTTTTCTTGAATAGCCAGTTCTACCTTTGCAGTTACTTTCTGTAATTGATTGAATCTGTCATATGATTTGCATTGTGAAAGGAGTGGCTTTGTGGAACTCAAGGTAGTAAATTAAAATTTTGTTGTTATTCAATATACCTGAATTCTACATACATGGGCCACCATACACTGCTATAAATCAAAATTAAAAACCTAAATACACTCTAAGATCTTTACTTTTACTGCCAAAGCAAACAAAACCTATCCAGGAGCAATAACCAATCTTTCACTATAGTTTTGAGTACAAAATATGTTCCTGAAAATTCACAAAAAAGTATAAAATATGATTGAAAAATAATTAAATCAATTGGGAAGACTTACAAGATAATGCCTAGAGTTACCATCACAGGGCTTGATACACCCCACACCCAATTGCCAAACCGATAACACACTTTTTGTCTATTTTGATCTTGCTGAAATTTCAAAGATGGAAAGCTTTCATAGGCAATATCTCTTACTCTAGGGTTTTAGAGATCATGGAAACCTAACTAGGCTTTGTAGGGACCCTTAGGAACAAATTAGGGTTAGACTTGAAAGCATAGAATCCACCTATGGTTAGGCATACCCCTGTTTCTTTTCCAGTTTCAATGTGCCACCCTTGTCTTATCAATTTTTGGGTGGCATACCCTTTTTTGGAAAGGTTGAGGGAGAAAAATGAATTTTTTAATGAAAGAGAGAGAGAGAGAGAGAGAGAGAGAGAGATTTGGTACATGGAAGGAGAGAGAAATATGTATGATGAGAGAAAGGGGTTCAATGGTGTTTAAATAGAAATAATTCCTTTTCCTATATGGGTAAAAATTCCTTCTTTAGATATTGCTTATCCAATGACACAACTTGACCAATAGGAATTTAAGAAATCTGTGGGGTGAGAGAGAACAACTCTGAGCCATCCATCCCACAAATCAGCCATCATGATTTTGGGAGGATTATTAGGAACCTTATCCTCTTATAATTTGATCTAGGTCCAACTTTTATTTAAATTAGAATTATAACCAATCCAAAACTTCCTAATATCTTTCCAAAATCTATAGGATGTCAAAATAATTAGAGTTTTCATCAAACCAAATGCCCTAATTAAAAAATATTTTATTTTAAAATTCCCACTTGAGTAGGGAACAAATCTATTTTTTTTTTAAAAGATTCCCTAACTAACCAAACTGTAACTAAAAATGGTACAAACTAAATAGGAGGGGCGTGCCACCCTAGGGACATTATGTTGGGCCCCACGAGGCCACACGTCCCACTCTTGGGTGGCACACACATGTGGGGCTAGATCCTTGGTCCCCACATGTGCCCTTCCTAGTTTTGAAAATTTCAAAAATACATTTTAATGAATTTGCAGCAGAATAAATTTTAAAATAATGATAAAAATTATAAAAATATTTTTAATACTAAAATAAATATTTTACAGTGGACTGGTACCATTAGGTCAAAATTAGCGACAATAAAAACACTCCACTTGACTTAAGAACCATGATCCACTATTTTTTTTTATTTAAACCAACAAAGACTCATGACCCGCAATCTCAATGTAGGGGCTCATGATTGGCTTGTCAAAGTTGGACAATAAACAGTGGAACCGTAATCCTGAAATGTGGATTAGAGTCCCTTCCCTTTAAGAGCAAGTCCAACAGTTGTAACTATAGTGAAAATGAGGCACTCTCTATGCACATGTACACATGTTGCTTTATAGAGCTGCTTCCTAATAATACGGCTGTCATGTGTATATGCTATTGAATTATCTGTATGGCTTCCTTTTCTTCTGGAGTAGTGGAACAAATGACTAGGTTAAGCTTGGTCTTCTTATCAATTGGGGTTAATATGGGTCGTCAATTTTTCATTTCAAATCTTTCAAGGATTTTCTTACAATATATCTCTTGAGATAATTGAATAGTTCTCTCTTTTCTGTTTCGGGTAATTTTGATTCCCAAAACATATGATGCTTCTCCAAGATCCTTCATGTCAAAGTATTGTGACAAGAAAGTGTTTGTCTCCAATACAAGACTCATCGAACTACTGACAATTAACATATCATCCACATATAGAGAGATGAAAAAACGTCAGTTCCACTGACCTTGATATACATACAGTAATCATCCTGGTTAGTCAAAAAACCAACTGATGACAAGGTCTCTTGAAACTTAATGTACCATTGCCTTGATGCTTGTTTAAGTCCGTAAAGGGATTTATTAACTTTATACACTAGTTTTCATTTCCTTTTTCTATGAATCCCTCTGGTTGTTTCATATAAATTTCTTCTTCTAGCTCCTCATTCAGAAATGTAGTCTTAACATCCATCTGGGGGTGTTCGAAGTCGAAATGGTCTGCTATGGCTATTAGGATTCTAATGGAGGGGAATTTTTCTACAGGGGAGAAGGTATCAGCATAATCTAATTCCTTCTTTTCGGGTAAACCCTTTAGCAACTAATCTGGCTTTGTATATCTTCGACTTCCCTTCCGAGTTCAATTTCATCGTATAAATTCATTTGCGGCCTATGGGTTAGGGTTTTCTATCAGGAGTTAGTTTCATTAGTTCCCACACACTGTTTTGTTTGCCCGAATTAAGTTCATCAATCATGGCTTTTTCCCATTGTATTTTTTCATGACAAGTTATGACTTCTTGGTAGGAACAGGGTTCGTGTAGGGATTCTTATTCAATTCTCTCATAATATTCTCCTAAGTAGGTGAAGAACTCAGGTTTTCTCCTAATTCGGTTACCTCTCCTAGGATGAGGTGGTTCAGGATCTAGGGCATGACTCGAGTCACTCTCTATCTCATAGACTTGGCTTGTTTCGGAGTTGCACGACCCTCGAGGAACTCTTAAGGAAATGGTCATCCCTACTTTGAAGAACAACCCCTATATCATGATTATAGAGACGGTATCCCTTACCTTGTGGTGGTTATCCTGTGAAGATGGACTTAACGATTTTAGGATCTGCTTTTGTCCTAGTTTGATGGGGTATTAGGACATGTTCAAAGCATCCCCTCACCCTGAGGTGATCAAAGGACGGACTACGACTAGTGAAAAATGTCATGAGTTAGTGGGACAGCTTTTGTGGGAATTCGATGAAGGATATAGTTAGCTATCAAAACAGCTTCTCCCCAAAAATTTAGAGAGAGTTTAGCATGTCCCATCATGCTTCTCACCATTTCCATCAAGGTCCTATTCCATTTATCAGCTAACCCCATTTTGCTGAGGAGTGTATGACATAACTGATGTATAATACCATGCTTAATACATAATTCTTTAAATGGCTGTGAGGAATATTCTCCACCCCTATAATATCTAAGGACTTTAATTTTCTAATTTGTTTGGGTTTCTACCTCGAAATGGGCTAAGGCTTGGACTTTTCACATAACAACAGTATTCAAAAAGTTGGCTGCCTAGCCGCCTAGGCAGCCAATCGCTTAAAATGCTTAGGTAGAACCTGGGCGGGGCACCTAGGCGGCTGCGTTGAAGGACCCGCCTAGGTGGACAAGGCATTGCTTAGGCGCTAGGCGCCGCCTCAATGCAAGTTGCTGAGGGTGGAAAAATGGCGTTGGCTATGGTCAAAATAGTATATTCCCCCTCATAAAAAGGAGGAAAAAGAGTTTTGGGGACACTCTAAGCCCCCAAAACCAAATCCTTGCCATCTAAAGAGAGAAAAACTCCCTAAAACGCTCTATTTTGTGATTTATTGAAAGATTGATAAATTTTCAATTTCTTATGAAATCAAAGGCAATGCTTCGTGTTACTTTTTGGAGCTTCTAGTGGTCAATAGTGAGGATCGAATAAACGAGGTTTAAGCCGAACATTGTTTTCATTGTGTATTTTTAGAGCATTATGTCATGATATTTGAATAAGGGTTTTGAGTTTTTTTGCTATAACGTATTATGTTTTGAATCATTAGATTTTTTTTTTTTTTTATGCTTGTTTTCCTTTTATGATATATTTACATGTTTGTAGTTGGAATTATTTTTTTGTGATTAATTGAATATTTTTTTTGATAAAGTGATTAATTGAATATTAACTCGTTTGGATGATGAAATTGGTCGTATATCGAATTCTTTTATGAATAATTGGTTCTTATTTTGTACAATGTGTGATGTTTTGATATCCTATTAGTTTTGTTTTACTTATTTGATATTTTTACATATTTGTAGATGAAACATTTACCGATTTGGACTTAGCTCTTGTGAATAGTCATAAACATTGGATGAAATTGGTATTTTGTAATAGTCGATTTCCAAAACCAATTCTTATGGATAGTAATTAATAAATAATAATTATATTATAACTTATATCTTGATTCTTATGTGAATGGTCCCTACCCGTCCCTATTCCTAGGTGGCTTGTAGCTGCCAGGCCCCCAAAATGCCTAGGCACCCGGCTGCGCTTTTTTGATCACTGCTTAACAGATAAACATGGCCTAAATGGGTGTGATCATCAATAAAAGTAATAAAGTACCTCTTTCGGCCCTTAGTTTCCACATTTATAGTTCCACAAATATTATTATGGATAACTTCTATT